CAAAATGTCCAAACTTTTGACAATTAAAAATTGCACCTTGCTTTTGTCAATTATTTTCCTTTCACCTCTAAAGTTTTCTTGACCACCATTTTTGTTGCAGTTGCTCTCACCTCTTTGACAAGTCGAATTCTTGGAATTTTAGGACTTTCTTCCACCAAAATTCTAAAAATTCTCTTTACTCTTCATAGGTCATTTTCCTTTTGATCTCTTGTTCTTCTCGTTGAAACGAGTTTGCAAAGTGATTTCCGTCTTTGCCTTATCATTATTTCTCTCCTCCATCCTTTTCTCATGAGCCTCAAAAGAGCTTCGTAGATCCTCTTTGCTCATCATCGCAAGATCATTCGATTCTTCAATCATTATGACCACGTTGTCAAATCTTGACGTTAATAAACGCAAGATTTTTGAGACAACATACTACTCAGTGACAATTTCTTCACATGCCTTCACTTGATTCACTAATCGAGTGATCCTCGTTGTGAAATCATTGATAGTCTATCATTCTTCCATTTGAATCAATTCAAATTGACGTTTGTGAGTTTGTAATCTTACCACCTTCGCCTTGTCACCCCATGTGTATGTCTTCTCTAAGATTTTCCACACTTAGTTCGATGATTTACAATCACCAACTTTCTCAAATTTGTCACTATTCACACATTGATGGATAAAAAACTGCACCTTAAAATCTTTCTTCTTCTCTTCCTTATGCGTTGCTCGTTGTGCATCCGTTGCACCTTCAACAAGAGGATTTCCTCATTCTTGATCACTTCAATAATATTTTGGTAGCCAAACAACACTTTCGTTTGTTTGCACCATTTATCGTAATTCTTGGCATCAAGGATGAGTAGGATTGCAAAGATTCTTTCATTGGATACATAATTCATGTTCTATAGTAGGTGTTTGTGGATCAGAACCAGACTCTAATATCAAATGTTAGAACTTAGAAATACAAAATTAGTGAATAATAGAGAAATTGAGTATGGAGAGAGAGAGAGAGAGAGAGAGAGAGAGAGAGAGAGAGAGAGAGAGAGAGAGAGAGAGAGAGAGAGAGAGAATTGTAATTAGTGAGAGAGAGTAATTGAGAGTGATAATATGAATTTTCATTTAGAAATACAAAATTAGTGAATAATGGAGAAATTGAGTATGGAGAGAGAGAGAGAGAGAGTAATTGAGAGTGATAATATGAATTTTCATTTAGAACAGACGAGGATGCTCGCTGGCATTTATACATAAAACAGTTGGATTGGAATAAGTTACAATATAAAATAACTGAAAAAAACAAAATTCTCGAACCTGTAACTACTTACACAAAACCCGTAACCGGTTACTGCTGTTTAAAATTCTAAAAATAGAAATAGTGAAAACCGGTTATTGTGAATCAATAACTGGTTATGTCAACGCTTTAATATCTTTTTCTTTAACTTATTTAAACTTTTGACATACCCGTAACCGGTTACACATCCGTAATAATAAGTTAAATCATTTAAATTATCAAAAATCTCTTTTAACATTATTTCTTCCATCAGTTTGAGGTGTACCTGCCTGATTGTATTCAAGAGCAAGATAACGGTAATAATGTTTAATTGAGGTTTGTTGTAATTGAAAAAAAATATGAAGAAATGTCATTTGGTGGTTCATATTTTGAAATTGACTTTTCTTTAGGTTGTTTTGGTTTATAGGTGGACTATCCATATCAATTTTCAAAACGTCCACAATAAAAAGTAGGTCTAATACCTTACAATAGAAGTTTGCGGCTTCACATTTTGTACCTTACAATAACCTACAAAGAGGTTGAATTGGTGAAGCTTTGTATTCTAAGATATGTTCCTTTCAAAGAATAGATTTGAATCTCATTACATATTAATAAGTTTTGTATTTGATTAAGTTCATACACTCTAACTTTAAATGAGACCTCACAAATAAACAGTGAAATTTTAATCGATCGCCAAGTTGGATATTAAATTTTTAATTTTTTTTACCTTACAATAGAAGTTTGTAACCTCCACTTTGAATATAAATTTTAGACGGTTTTGACTAGAAGCTATTTGAATACTAAAACCAATTTGTTGAATTTAAACTTATTTAGGCTTTTTCAAGGAGAAAATGAGTGCATGAGATGACTTTAATTTGTGAAAGTAATTTGTAATGGAAAAAAGAAGAAAGCCGAAAATGAAGTGTATGATCGTGAAAGACGTGTTGGAACAAAAAGAAGGAAAACAAGACTTGATTGCACATGCATACAAAATGCAATTCAACAACTTGTTTGACAACTGAAATCACCAATATACCCTTAATAGTAAGATGTAGTAGTTGTTTCTAGATAAGCTGATTAAGTCAAGTAAATTGAAGGACAAGTCACATTTCCTAATTCCTTCATTATTATTATTTCCTTGACCGAGTCAGTGAAAATCTAAACCTATGATAAAAATTGTGATCCTAATTAAATGTATATGCAGATAAGCTTCAACCAATTCATTGCTCTGTTCCACAAACATATGGCCAAATTTTCAATCAACTGAACATATTATTACTAACTAGAAAATAACAGAGTCCTAATTTGTTTTTTACTTTCTCATGAACATTTGATAGCTAGCAAAATAAAACACTTGTAGATGCAAACATGATTCCCTAATTTGAGCAAACAACACCAAAATTCTAATAGTTAAGATGCATAAGAGTTTTTGAAGGAATTTGAAAAGCCATAAGTAGGATTTAATAAGAAAACGTACTTTTGTAATAAGATGAACAGTCTGCGGCGGAAGAAGCAATAGAACCATATGGGCAATAATAGCCAGAGGAGTCTAACTGTTTCTCAATATCATCATTCCACTCACAATTTCCTTGATTTTTGGAGCAATCTAAACATTTCCCATTCACACTGTAACTCACCTCAAACTCCTTATCCAAACCTTTTTCAAGAACATCACGCTCAAAATAACCATAAATATTTTTCTTTATAGGAAAATCTGCACCTACTGGCACTGTAATATGTCCCATACAATTCATTGATTCTTCTATATGCTCATAGCCATAATCAGAATGAGCAACATGACCAAATGCACGATTCGGAGCTCCACATAGAGAATCTTGAGCAGGTAAAATTGGAGAGGAAGTACAGTTGTAGAATATGATAATGTTATTGACACTTTGAAACGGAGATGAAAACAAAGAATTACTATTAAATTGAGGCGAACAGAGATTCAGAGAAAAGTCTGTTCTTTTGAGTTTGATGGTGTAGGCTGTGGTGTTGATTTCGAGTACTGTGAAATTCTGTGAGGATATTAGAATGGTAGTAACGCTTTTTTCATTGCAAATAAGGTGAAACGGAGTTCCTGCGCCACATTGAAAAGGACGATTATGTCCCCAGAATGGATACGAGATGTGGGAGAGATTACCACAGTTGTAGAAGTGATCAGCATCTCCACAAATGGAATAATCATAATCTGATTGAGATAGAGATAGTTGTGGTAACAAGAAGAAAAAGAAAGAGATGAGCATAGGAATATTAATATGATTATCCATTATGTTGAGAACGATGAAGACAACAGCAAGAGGAAGAGGAGGAGGTTATGTTTTAAGGCAATTCAGTTCATTATGCTCTCAGTCCGCCTCAGAGTCAACTGAAAAGTCACCCACGAAATTTCCACTCTCTTTCCATGCCATTTTTTTTCTTTTTAATTAAAATTTAGACTAAGAAAGGCACTTTTTTCAAACTTCAATATATTTATGATTAAATTTTAGGCACAATCGATTTAAACATTTTTTTGCAAGGTGTGAAATGTGAGGTGGCGGTGGCCAACCACGTTTCCAAATACGCACTTAGTGTGTTTCTATAAATTGAGCTAAGATTTCTATTCAAAGGGTTTTAGTACACCAGCATAATATATCGTAGCAGGAAGAAAAATCAACTCTTCACCAAAAAGGCTAGAGTCAATTTAAAAGTATCACAGCTCTATCTTTTTATAGGCAATTTTAGCTTTATTTAGAATATTTTATTAATTTGGTGTCCAAATAAACAATTTGTGATGATGCAAGAATGGTTAGTTTCATTATCTATACAAAAAATCAAACCAACAAATATGTTATATAGGAGTTGTTGAAGGAATTTGGGAAGTTATTAGAGGTTGGAACTTGGAAGACATAATCAAAAATAGGAACAACAACTATAGAGACAAATCATAAATCTGTCTTTTTCCTTAAGTGCTTCCTTAAACTACAAACTATAAGTCATTGATTATTATGTCTTTTTCCTTACAAAAAACTACTTAGACTCTACTCATGAATAATTTTTTATGAAATAAATAAGTTTTAATTTCTCAATGACTAAAATATATCTTAAGATTAAACTGAGAGACAAATTTAGGTTTCCCTGTTTGAAAATTTCAACACCATATGGGAGCATGTTTCCCTTTTATATTCGTTTGGTAAGAGTTGCTATCATCTTCCCATCAAATCCTATATTTTTAAATCCAACAACTAATATGACTTTTTTATGTGTTTATGCTCATTATTCTTACTAGTTAATCTTTAAAAGTCAATGTCCGCCAACTATAAATCACATTTAAAAGTTTGAACACGTTAGTATCTTATTACAAAGTCTAAAATAATTCCATACCCTATTTTAATTTAGTTACATATAATAATATAACTATAAAAACATCTACACATGATGAATAAAAATATCAAAGAGAATCATTCTAACCAAAATGCAATTTTGAAGAAGCAACAAAACCATTCTACATCATGCTATGAAGCCAGAGTGGATTTAAGTCCTAATAAACAGTTTTGGATTCCAAACTAAAATCCAATTTCACCTAGCAAAGGATGAAGATGTTCATATCCAAGTGATTATTTCTAAGTATTTCTAATCAAATAGATAATGCTGTTAATAAACTGTTAGTAAATAAGTTCTAAACTGCACAGCTTATTGAAATAAGCTAAAAGTAGCTTATAAACTCTAAATAAATTCTTTAAATGCACTTTAAGGTTAAGGTTAAGGTTATTCAACTGAAGAATCTAATAAAATATCGCGAGAAGGAAGAATACTTACTCGAAGTGTCAGACTTTTTTGAATCTGAATTAGAAGATGGGTCTGATGCTTGAAATGGTGTATCTCCATATGGCTGTTGTAATCCATATGGTGGTGCTTCTAGAGGTGATGGTGCCACAGGTTTAAACAACTTAGATCCTATGCAACCAGACTCATCCGGCCAAATCTCAGTTGTTGAATTGTCGCGACAAAATCCGCAATCACCATAAGATTGTTGATTAGGACAAATACACATAAGTGCACTTTTGGTTGTATTGTAACCACATCTCCCACCAAATTTTTTGCAATAACTACATATATCGCTGTCCACATCGCTCCACGCAACCTCAAATCCTTCCTTTAAAACATTCACCGAGGTATCAGAATTTTCTATGATAGAGCTTTTTGGTCCATAAACTTTGATATTGTTCTTACACTCTAGGCCCGCGAAATCCGCCATTTTAGTACTTACTATTAAGTATGCATCTTGAGGTTCACTACCTATGAGGCAAGAAATTTTTTGAGAAACTTCTGAACTCAAAGGCGACCCCCCGTATGTATCGGTAGGAAGAGAGTGACAGTCGGACAATAGAGTATACTTCTCATCCTTGGAAGTGTACTTGAAGAAATCCAGATTTAAGCTTACATTGGTATCAGGACAAGAAGGAACAATTGCAGCATCATAACTCCATAAATCCAACCTAGCAATCTTCAAAAGTTGTGATGTTTGATTCATATCAATGATATGAAACTTTTGTGAGTTGATGTCAATAGTCAAGTTGTTTTTCTGACAATCGAGCGTGAAGTTTGGATGGCCACAATAATTTGGTTGTTTGTTGTTAATCCAAAATGGATAAGTGATGTTGGTGAAACTTCCACAGGTAAAAGGTGCACAAGATTTGTAGCTTTTAGCATCACTATGGACACGGATAGGGATCAAGAAGAAGAGTGAGAGGAAGAGAAAGATGTTGATGAGGAAGGAACAATGGGGTTGAAGAAAAGATGGAGACATGTGTAGAGATGATGAAAATTGAAAAGTATCCGCGACTGAAGATTAACCTCTACAATTACGTACTATATCTAATTCATATCTTTCCATATTACTCATATGTTTGAACTAAGAAGAATAAGATTATGGAGAAAGAGAAAGGTGTTGATGAGATGAAGGGGAAATGAAGTAGAAAGAAGAGGAAGGAAGAATATTGATGATAGAAATTTGAGATGGCCTAATTGGCATAAGAGGAAGAGGAGGAGGTTATGTTTTAAGGCAATTCAGTTTATTATGCTTAAGTTTAGTTATGCTCGCAGTCCGCCTCAGAGTCAACTGAAAAGTCACCCACGAAATTTCCACTCTCTTTCCATGCCATTTTTTTTTTAATTAAAATTTAGACTAAGAAAGGCACTTTTTTCAAACTTCAATATATTTACGATTGAATTTACATACACTCTACTACTAATCCTATCAATTTAGTTGTCATAAGGCTTATCTTTTCTGTACTTATGATGGATAAAGAAGTTATCACCTCAAATAATTTATTTAATTTATTAAATTGTTATGTATTAGCAGTATTAAAATTGATAGGATCACACATGGATTTATTTATCTTTTTTATTTATTTTAAGTTTCAACTCAATTTCATTAATTATCCCATCTCATTTGATTATTATGAAAATTAATCAGAGGCAGAGAGACGGACCAACAAGTTAAATGTAAAATAGTATATATTTTATATAAAGGTGTTAATAATGATTCACACAACAAAATAATATAATAGAGGATCCATTAATAAATTACTAAAAGAACACATGGTAGATTTTTTTTTAAAGAGTAGGGAAAATATAATAAATATGTTTATATTTCTCATTAAAAAATCTATATTAGTATCAGCACGTAGTTCCTAGAGTATATTTGAAACTATTGATGCAAAGTGACTAAATAATTGATACATTGGTTATCATTCAAAAAACATGGTTATATATTTTTATTGGTTGATTTTATCCTCACTGACCAATACAAATGACAACCGCTCCACAATAATAAAATTAATATTTCACATAAGGGAATTATTCTCCCATTTTAAGGGGTGCTTAAGCAACTCCAAAACTATTCTTGAATATTAGAGATGAAGTTTTTGACTCATTGTTGCGGTTAGAATATGATATCAAATTATTAATTAATTTGAATCGCATCTTTACTTCACAACCGCTCTTTGATTTATCCGAAGGAAAAGGTCAAAAGAGGAAAACCTAATTTTACATCGTAAAGACAATGCGGGGAGAGATCTAGGTAAGGGGTTGGTTAAACTTAGGGAAGGTACTAGCACCCTAAACTTCTGTAGTACTCTACAGGAACCTTTTGTTTATTGTATGCTTTTTTATTTTATTATCTGTTTGAAATATATTGCTAAGGGATAGAGTGACCTAAAGACCTAAGGGTTAGTCCTAAGTTTACTCGGCAAGACGTCGCATCTTGTGCTACGTATCCTGGATAGGGAATGGAATCATAGTAATCGTAGTTTCCCTCGAAAGGGAGGTTAGAAACTTCTTGACTGTGGTCAAGGTTTCAATGGGGAATAAACGTATCTTAAGGACACGCTTACGTGGAGTCTTAAAACTCCTATTTCTACGTTGAATTTGTTAAATGAAATTAGGGTTAAATTAGGGATTCCACGACGGGAAACCTTAAACAGAGTACGGCGACTCTTTGACCTAATGCTAGGGTAAAGGGCATTTTCGTCAACGGCTGGACACCTAGGCTATTAGGGTTTTTGAAACGGTCAAAATTAGGGTTATTGACTCGGCGATCAAACGGCTAGACCTAATTCCTTCGGAGGGAATCCTAACGGTAAATCATACAAACAGACAAAATATCGTACGGCAAAATTAAAGTGCGGAAAGTAAAGAAAACGGTAAAGAAAGCGTCGCGACGATCACTCGCGTAAATTACAAGTCCCCAAAAAATGCAAAATAAAATAAACCGCGACCATGGCCTCGCGTAAATTACATCCATGAACAAAATAAACTGAATAAATATTAATCGGAATTTAAGGATAATCTGAGGAGAGAAACAGAGAACATTAGTGAAAGGTTAGACGAAATTCAATGACAAATAACAAAATAGTGAAAAAGAAAAAAATACGAATTTGGACATTGTTATTGTTCTTAATACTTTTTGAAAAAAGATCTTAATTTTAATTTTTGAAAAAAAGACGAATTTTAATGTTAATATCAAAAGGTTTTTGGTTTTCATTATATTTTAGTTAGTGCTGATTATTTAAAAAGTTTTAAAAATAAAAAAAATGTTTTAATTTTAAAAGGTTTTACTATATATAAAAAAAGTTGTAATATATATAAAAAAAAATTTAATAAAAGAAAGTTTTAATAATAAAAAGAAAGTTTTAATAAAAAGAAAAGGTTTTAATAAAAAAAGAAGAAGTGTTAGTAATAAATTAAAACCTAATGTGATTACTAATTACAGTTAAAAAAAAAAGAAATAATAAGAAATTAGGGTTAAATTAGGGATTCCACGGCGGGAAACCCTAAACAGAGTACGTCGACTCTTTGACCTAATGCTAGGGTAAAGGGCATTTTCGTCCACGACGGGACACCTAGGCTATTAGGGTTTTTGAAACGATCAAAATTAGGGTTATTGACTCGGCGGTCAAACGGCTAGACCTAACTCCTTCAGAGGGAATCCTAACGGTAAATCATGCAAACAGACAAAATATCGTACGGCAAAATTAAAGTGCGGAAAGTAAAGAAAACGGTAAAGAAAGCGTCGCGACGATCACTCGCGTAAATTACAAGTCCCCAAAAAATGCAAAATAAAATAAACCGCGACCATGGCCTCGCGTAAATTACATCCATGGAACAAAATAAACTGAATAAATATTAATCGGAATTTAAGGATAATCTGAGGAGAGAAACAGAGAACATTAGTGAAAGGTTAGACGAAATTCAATGACAAATAACAAAATAGTGAAAAAGAAAAAAATACGAATTTGGACATTGTTATTGTTCTTAATACTTTTTGAAAAAAGATCTTAATTTTAATTTTTGAAAAAAAGACGAATTTTAATGTTAATATCAAAAGGTTTTTAGTTTTCATTATATTTTAGTTAGTGTTGATTATTTAAAAAGTTTTAAAAATAAAAAAATGTTTTAATTTTAAAAGGTTTTACTATATATAAAAAAAGTTGTAATATATATAAAAAAAAATTTAATAAAAGAAAGTTTTAATAATAAAAAGAAAGTTTTAATAAAAAGAAAAGGTTTTAATAAAAAAAGAAGAAGTGTTAGTAATAAATTAAAACCTAATGTGATTACTAATTACAGTTTAAAAAAAAAAGAAATAATAAGAAATTAGGGTTAAATTAGGGATTCCACGGCGGGAAACCCTAAACAGAGTACGTCGACTCTTTGACCTAATGCTAGGGTAAAGGGCATTTTCGTCCACGACGGGACACCTAGGCTATTAGGGTTTTTGAAACGATCAAAATTAGGGTTATTGACTCGGCGGTCAAACGGCTAGACCTAACTCCTTCAGAGGGAATCCTAACGGTAAATCATGCAAACAGACAAAATATCGTACGGCAAAATTAAAGTGCGGAAAGTAAAGAAAACGGTAAAGAAAGCGTCGCGACGATCACTCGCGTAAATTACAAGTCCCCAAAAAATGCAAAATAAAATAAACCGCGACCATGGCCTCGCGTAAATTACATCCATGGAACAAAATAAACTGAATAAATATTAATCGGAATTTAAGGATAATCTGAGGAGAGAAACAGAGAACATTAGTGAAAGGTTAGACGAAATTCAATGGCAAATAACAAAATAGTGAAAAAGAAAAAAATACGAATTTGGACATTGTTATTGTTCTTAATACTTTTTGAAAAAAGATCTTAATTTTAATTTTTGAAAAAAAGACGAATTTTAATGTTAATATCAAAAGGTTTAGTTTTCATTATATTTATAAAAAAAATAGTTAGTGTTGATTATTTAAAAAGTTTTAAAAATAAAAAAATGTTTTAATTTTAAAAGGTTTTACTATATATAAAAAAAGTTGTAATATATATAAAAAAAGTTTTAATAAAAGAAAGTTTTAATAATAAAAAGAAAGTTTTAATAAAAAGAAAAGGTTTTAATAAAAAAAGAAGAAGTGTTAGTAATAAATTAAAACCTAATGTGATTACTAATTACAGTTAAAAAAAAAAAGAAATAATAAGATAATATAAAAAACAAAATAGAAATAGAAATAAAAGGAGTGAGGATAGGTGGATGGTATTGGGAAAAAAAACTTTTCGGGAAAAAAACCTTTTCCCTCTTGCCAATTGTGCCATTTTATTCATTCGAAATAAAGTGGCACTAGAAACCATGTAAAGGTAGGACAAATTTGGGGTGCAACATTCATCTTTATTGTTTTGCAATGTTACAACATGTGTAGAGAAAGAAGTTGAGTATTGTATTTTGTATAGAAGTGATTCATTACATAACAGAAAGGAAGCTAAAGCATTTATACAAAACTAATATAACAGAACTAGTTAACAGTAATAGTTAACCACTGTTAACAGACTGCACCATTATTCTAACATCCCCCTTCAAACTAAAGGATGTTGACTTGTGGAGACAACTTTAAGTTTGCTACGCATTTCCTGGAATGTTGTCGTGCTGAGTGGCTTTGTAAAAGCATCAGCAATCTGAGTGGCAGCAGGAACATGACATATGGACATTATACCTGCAACAACTCATTCTCGAACAAAATGAATATCTAACTCGATATGTTTTGTGCGGGCATGTAAGACCGGGTTATGAGACAGTAGGTGTGTGGAATGGAACTTTAAGTTTAGATAGTAAAGATTCTAACCAAAGTAATTATGAAGTAGTATGAGCTAGAGCCCTATATTCCGCTTCTGTACTCGACTAAGCTATTAAGGATTGCTTCTTGGAACTTCAAGCAACCAAATTAGGTCCAAAGAAGATACAAGAGCCTGAGGTGGATCTTCGGTCATCCGG